CCCATCCCTGGTAGTGCTGAAATCACCAAACTAATACTGCGAGAAAATGTGGACGCCAATGCAAGAGCGGCCACATTTGACAACGTGGCTGGAGGCGACTAACCTTTTTCATCGGCAGAACATGGCCCTACGGCGTTGCACATCGCTGTGAGCACGAATTGGGACCGATTTATCATATGAATGGAACAAGAGATGGTTGAAATTTGCCTCTATGTGGACAAAGCGTGGTGCAAGCGTGGAAGGAGTGGTTGACTGCTTCTAGCTCCGAGACATCGCAGAGTTCGAGGACTTTCCGCCGTTGTGGGATAGGCTGAGAGAAGTCATCGCAACCATTGACAAAAAGGGGTAACGGACGAAGAGTCGATCACCGAGGGAGATGATGTCACGAACGAGGAAGAGTTCACTGATGAACAGGTTGTCACTAACAAAGAAGAGGTGATTGGCGAAGAGGAAGTTACTTACGAGAAGGACGCTACTGGCCAGTAGTGGATCACCGATGATGAAGAGTATCACAGCCAGCTAGTCGTAAGGTTGTGTTGACAGGAAATGAGGTTTCGGGAACTTAGAGCAGTTCTGGTTGGTGTAATAATCGGATGTAATGATCAATGATTGTTTCAGGGCGCGGCGGGATAGCTGCAAGCTGAATACGCAAGTCATAAAGTACCTTATGGCGACCCTTGGGAACCTAGTTATATACTTGGCAGGAGCTTCTTAGCAAAACAGCCGAAAGCGGTTATAAGAACTGATACTCAATTGACTGCTGAAGAAGCCATAGAAAGTCTGTCCTCAGTCAACTTCCGGCGAGGGACCGCTTGAGCATGGCACCTGCCGTTGGTCGCATACAGACGCACGAAATTTTGCACGCCCTAGCAGATATGGCGGGCAAGTTCTGAACTTCTGGCGTCGTTCGTACGGTCTCCCATCCCATGTGGCAGTCTCCCGAGCCGACATTCATGAGCGTGATCAGACAATGTGCCTTTCTCCACATTTTCAAGTCGAACTTCACTAATAATACGATGAAAGAACTCTATGGATTGAGCCGCAAGCCCATCGTGCTACGTGGCTGTTCGGGCCGACCAAGTTGCTGTCGCAGGGTGGTGGCTTGGAAACCCACACTCAAGACAGTAGAAGACATGAGTGAGAATACTACACAGGTTCCAATTTTGTTGCCATCCAGATGAAGTGTCCTAACTCGTCGTGATCCAGACACCAATTTTCGACATCCGCTACCCAACCCTCCCTTGGTAAGGCGTTCCCCGCGTATCGGGCGTACTCCCGAAGATGAGAGACTTTGAGGGTATCTTTGAAGTCCCGTTGCGATAGTTGTTCAAGATACTGTCGCTGCCATTCTATATTTGCCTTGGCTAGCCAGAGGCTGCGTGTGCTCGGAAGGTGTACAGTTTTACACGTCGCGCCACCGTTGCCGGAAGAAGGACATATTGCTATGCTGAGAAGCTCATTCAATGCGTAGCAAAAGCATATTAGTCTACAAGTGATAAGTTGTCAATAAAGAGCACACATTATTCGATTATATGACTGACCTCCCTACGCTTTCGTTACTGATCCATTCGTGCCGATTGGAAATGCTATGATGTTGCGTGTAATTGGCTCCAGTTCGATCCTTCATCATTGTATAAGTCATAGTCTAGAGATTCAAGCAAGCGTAGAAATAACGTCAGTCATAAACGTGCATGAATCCTGCTGCGCGACAGAGACTCACGCCTAAGGTAACGGTTGTTGATCTGAGATAGTGCTCAGGGATAGATGCGACATCTTCAATGTGGAGAATGGTATACAACGTGACGGCTTGTACGGCAGCAATCAATGTCTTCCTATCGTAAGACTCATGCTTTAAAATGACTGCGATTAGTGTCTGAAAACTGTTTCTGGTATCATCATGGCCCTTCTCCAATGACCGAGATGCGACCTACCTCGTGAAAAAGTCTCTGTTGTTCCATGTAGATGGTCTTCCATGCAAAAGATCTGTCTCTTAGGCTGTCTCTCGGAAACATGCGAACTATACTGGCACATGCAGCTAATGGTGGTGGAAGACATTGATGGATTCCAGACTGCTGGCACAGGATCTCGTCGCCGAAGCACGGCGAGCTGATGAAAGGTGGGAGGTTGAGATCGTTGATCAGCATTGCAGGGTACTTTCGTATGCTTCCCAGCATCATTTTCGAAGTAAGCGAGGCTTCTGCAGTTTTGTTTCTACGCGGCCGAAGTAAGTGGTTAACGTCGACCAGCATACCGAGCTCAAAATTGGCTCGTGATGAGATTTGTGTGTTGATGTCGGCAATTATATTGGTAACAATGTCAGGACTCATGTCGGCTGTTGGACCCGTGGATGTTAACCTTGGACTGTTGCTTGTGAAGTCATCGGTCCAAGGCGTTTCATTGGCAATGTTTGTGGGCACGGCAGCCCATTCAAAAACTCCAATATCACCAATGGTATCGGTGACCTCGAAAACGCTAGCTGTTTGGCGCTCATTGTGATCCCTTGTGCTAGTCATAATCGCCGCCTCAATGCTTGTAGTATCTAGCAGCGATACTTCAGAAATTTGTCCCGACGTGCACAACTGCGGACTCCGAAGCTGCCGATAACCTTTTTCTAGGTAAACACTTGCCTGCGACATAGGAGAGTAGCAGCATGGCCAATTTCGTTGCTCACAGCGGGAGCAGCGGGGCTGGTTTCGGTCACAAGCTAACTTTGACGACCGACATTGTTGACAAGACTTTCGACGGAAGTTGGGCATCCTTACGCTGAGCCTAGTGGTGCCACGAATCGTTTGGCTTCAGGGTGACGAGTCTGGCCAGCGGACAGTCTGTCACGAAACAGGAATAGCATCGGCAATCTAGGAGATACTCGTCACGTGATCTACCCCGTGATTTCGAAGGTCCCTCCCTGGACCCTTCGCTTTCTTTGGTTCTCTTCATGAGGCTAATAAAAGCTATCTTATCCCACTCCATTGACTTGTAACAAAATCAATCGTAACTAGCGCGTTCATTTGAGGCGGGGTGTTGGAATATTTAACCCAGATAAGCTGGGCTAATCCGCAAATGCCGCCCCTGTTCGCTCTGGCATAACCGCTGCTGCTAGTTGCTGCCCGCCCCAGGAAGGACACATTATGTATCCAGACCCAATTTACCAAACATGTTGAGATACGGGCCGAGCTACTATCCACTGAGCAATGATTCCGGAACATCACAGAGGAGAAAACGTCCCTTCGTCGTGCGCAGGCCGGCAGGTGGGTTCCATCTCGGCTTTTCGTTACATATGATTGGTCCTGCTTGAATCGAAAATCCGACTGCGCCAACTTGCTGCACAGACTCTCGGCTTTTCACAGAGCGGTATGCTTGTTTGGCTGCGCGAGGAGCCAGATCTTCTTGGGTTATGTGGATACTGATGACTTGTCTTATGGCTAAGGCACAGCTGTGAATGGAGTTCGGGGGGCTCATCAACGTTTCACCCGCAATGTCACCATCTCCGAGTTTCCGTGGAAGAGGCCACTAAAGTCCGCATGGAAGCTTATAAGAGAAGCACGAAGTGATGGTATTGCAAGAAATATGGTCTGAATCATCATCCTCGTCTTGAAACAGAAAACTTCATCTTCATTCAAACGTAATCTAAAATTATCTACATCTCTTCGGCCCTGTTCACGATGACTGCTATCAACTCGATTGCCACCAAATACAAAACTGAGCGAGATAAGAGATTCATCGCCATCTCTGACAACCAAGGAGACCGTATCAACTTCAGGACTAGTTCCTTGATGAACGACTTTAATCGTGACCCTTGGGCCAACTACGACGCCCTCGCCAAGGAAACTCCGCCTTTGAGTGACGGATCCGAGATTCGTTTCCTGATCCTTGGTGCCGGCCATAATGGCATACTCTTTGCCTATCAGCTAGTCGCGGCTGGATTTAATCCGGCCGATATTGTCATTATAGACGAGGCCGGCGGCTTTGGCGGCACCTGGTACTGGAATCGCTACCCAGGCCTGACCTGCGATGTCGAAGGCTACTGCTACTTGCCACTTCTCGAGGAGACAGGATTCGTTCCCAAGCATCGCTACTCGAAGGGCCAAGAGATCCGTCAGAACGTTGAGCAGATCGCAGAAAAGTATGGAATCAAGGGTATGTTTTGTACTAAGGCAAAGGGCGCCGAATGGGACGACGGCCAGAAGCGTTGGATTGTCACGATGAGCCGGAACATGGGGTCTGAATATCAGCATCTCAATGGCGATTTTGTCGTCCGGACACAGTTTCTCATGCCTGCTGGCGGCCTCTTCTACTCGCCGAGCGCGCCTGACGCTCCTGGTCTCAGCGAATTCGTGAAGAACCGGGAGATTTTCCACACGGCTCGTTGGAATTACGAATACACCGGCGGTTCTCAAACCCAAACTGACCTGGTCAATCTGAAAAACAAGAGAGTGGGAATCATTGGTACTGGTGCGACGGCTGTACAAGCTGTCCCCGAGCTGGCGAAATGGTCGGAGCAACTCTATGTCTTCCAACGCACGCCCTCATACTGCGGACCAAGAAAGCAAGTTGAGACAACCCCGGAAAGCTGGAATATTATAGCTGGCCGGCCAGGCTGGCAGGCTGATCGGATGAGAAACCTAAACAAGTTTCTTAACGACCACCCAGAGGTGACTCCTGTCGATGACCTCCTTAAAGACGGATGGAGTAATGCACGCACGTTCTCTGGACTCATTGGAAGCCCCCGGGCGAAAGATATTACTCCCGAGAACGTCCCTCAGCATCTGCAACGGATGTTGGAGCTCGACGCGGGGATCTCAACTGAGCTCCGCAAGCACGTCGAGCGCGAGGTGGACAATCCAGAACTAGCTGAAAAGTTGAAGGCCTGGTACCCCGGCTGGTGCAAGCGTCCGACATTCCACCAAGATTACCTCAAGTCTTTCAATCGTCCCAATGTCGCACTCGTTGATACCGATGGTCAAGGTATCTCTGGCTATACTGAGAAAGGTATTTTGGTCGGTAAGGGCGACTTGGCCAAGGAGTACGAGGTCGACGTTCTCGTACTTGCGACAGGTTTCGCGACGACGACTGCCGTCGATGGAGACCCATCCCAAGTACTGAACATGCCAATCCGGGGCCGCAACGGTCGCGATCTGACGCAGAAATGGCAAAGTGACGAATTTGCCACCTTCATGGGCGTGGCTACACACGACTTTCCCAATCTACTCTTCTTTACCGCAAAGGGTGCCACTTCCTCGGCAAACACGACCTACCCGTACACGGTGGGAGGCAGATTAGTAGCTCACATCGCCAAGACTGCCTGCGATCATGCTTCCGATATCAACAGGGTTGAAGTTGAGGTCAGCAAGGAGGCGGAGCAAAGTTACACGGAGAGCTTGAAGCCCTACGCTCCGTGGTATGCTCCTGTGGCATCTTGCACCCCGACTTACTTTATGGATTACAAGGATCCCAAGAAAGAGCAGGAGACAAAGAAGCCCTCGGTGGGCTTTAGTATGGGGGCTGTGGCTTTCGAACAAGTCGTGGAAAAGTGGGCCGAGGGCAGCTTGAATGGGTTTGTGGTGCAAGGCTGAGAGTGAGCCGCGTTTGGCTGAGAGCCCGAAATCGATAGCCCAAAATCGATATCCATACATCATCACTTAGTGTACAAACAAATGGACTGGTCTATCGTGAAGCTCGAGGAAGTAGAACGTAGAACCAAGTGATCTAGGTACTTACAGAAGTAGCGAGCTGGATGGGCGCACCGCTTTAAGGAGCTTTCCTCCAATAAGCGGTGCAGCGTACCTGCAATACAAACAAGTAACAAGCCTGATGACTAGCGGTGATAATGCATGTGTTGTATGCCTTACCTAGAAGGTGTCAAAGAACGTATGAAGTCAAGCATTTCTCGAGCTGCAGGATAGTAAAGAATCTGTTTAGGGGGGTAAATGGACACTCATTTAACTTCTAACTTCTTGTCAATTCGACTTACTGAGGTGCACCTTAGTACTTATGCTATGAGTGCTTCCAGTAGGATAGTAGTCTTTTGTCATGCACCACTCCCCTCGTTGTTGTAGGGTTCTCTGTTTAACCACAACTTATTCGAACATATGTACGTTGAACATGTAAATAAAATTGTAACTTCAAGATACAGGGGTCAATATAGTAAGGGAGGTACCCACGGTAAGTACTAGCATTGTGGCATCGTGCTTGGCCCTCAAGACAACACTTTGCATCGTTCAAGAAACACTTGATTGTGATGTCTGAGGTGTCCGTCATTGCTGGGACGGCGCGTCATGCTGGGGGTTTTACGCAAGTGCTTGCTCTAGTAGCTTGCAATGAGGACAGCATAACACTATCTCAGGGCAAGGAATAAAGATTTTCTCTTCTTGCGTTTCACAGAGGTTGTTACAATATTGCCACTGACAGCGCGGCGTAGGGGAAGCACAATTGGAATCTCTAGTAAGTAGTCAAAAGAATCTTTCTGACTATAAGATCTTCTCTAGGATAGGTCGAAATATCCTTTCTTCCGCGTCGATCAGAACCTGCAAAGAAAGCTCATCCATGAGCTTAATCTTGCAGTGCGCTTGAGCAGCTGTCCTTATTGTTGGGACATGCTTCGAGTCTGGACCGATAATCCAGTCGCGCGGGGCGCAGCGACGCAAGGCATAGGAGCACCCAATGGACTTCCAGCCTTGCTGAAACAAGAGGCCAGGCCAACATCGTGAATTTTCGGATGAAACAGCCCCCCAAGCGCGTCAACTATCAATAATGGTGCAGTTGGTGGCAATCCAAAACAACACTTGTCACAGGCGAGTTTGCGCACAGCCCTCTCCAGAAGAAATCAGCAGGAAACTAGTGCACGGATGGTATACCTAGCTGAATAAAGATGGAGAGTTTTCCTTGCATGTACGGCCGGCGTTGAAAATTGAAGCTCCATCTGACCACCAGCTATCTGCATGCAATATCACACCCAGAATGTCTTCAACCCCCGAATATCAGCCTTTTCTCAAATACTCGGACGACCCGAGGACCGAAGAGCCAACATCACCAAGCCGGCCATCAACCCGTCGGAACACGCTTTTTTCTCATATCCTTGTACTCATAGGCACATCGCTAGTATGGATACTTGTCTTCTTTCTGTTCTTTCCGACACCAGCTGCGACGACTGCGTCCCAAGACGCTGCACTTTCCCAGTCATCAGCTTCATATGGGGCTGGCCAGCGACACAACATAACCACTGGTAGAAAAAGAATCTCTTGCGGCAACACGACAAAAGAGGCAAGGGCCAAAGGCTGCAGATACGATGTCCTATTGAATCACTGGGTCCCGGCTCAGTGCTTTGACAAGGACTCGGTCGACGAATATCAAGAAGATGCTAGCTGGGGTGCGTTTGCGGATAAAAACATGACGCAGCAGTTGACAATTGATGAGATGTCAGAAAGAGACTTTTACTGGACTTCAATCCGGGACCATATCAACCACTGCGCTATCATGTGGCGACGCCAATTCTACGCTCTTTACGACGAGCGGGCTGCAATTGACACCATCGTCACCAGCCCTGGGCACACTGAGCACTGCTCACAGTATCTCATGGACGCCGTGGATTCGAAATGGAAGGAACCAACGAAGACAATGAGAGGGTTCGCGGGGTGCTGGGTACGCGAAACATAGTGCTTAATGCGACATACCAACCAAATACCAAAAGCTTCAAGTACACTAGGGTCACCGTGTGGGTGTAAAGGTTGAACAATGGCAGGGAATAATTATGCTATGTTATATTCGTCTGATTTCATCGGTTTAGCAAATCCACAACATGCATTGGGGATTGGCCTCAGTGTCTCTCGAAGAGCCCCCGAATCTTGGTTAAACCTCACGTGCGAGACATTTGTGCAGAGCTTGGTAGTTGTCAAAGGGATATTACACAATAGTTATCCTGTTTTGGGACTGTTTTACTCTGGGAAGTGTTGAGTAGAGATTGTACGGAGACAACTCCTAGCGACGCAGGAATACCCGCCAGGATTCAGAGCTAACCCGCTCTCAAACGGTCTCGTGAGTTCTTCAAGTTGTCTAGTCGACAGCTTGTAAGACTTGTAGGACTTTCTGGTCTTGAAATGTGTTCTGCCTATCACGAAAGCCGAGTATGTACGTGATCCAGTGGCTCTACTTCGGCGTCCAGTATCTCATGCAAATGCAGCATGATTATTGCCGACCAAGGTCTAAGGACTTTTATTACCGTTAAGCATGTCCGTTCCATCAGCTCCTGCTCTGTTTCCCGACAAGGCTGTAAAGCATTGCCCAGGCAACATCGACGCTCTCCGGAATAGCCACATGAATTATAAAATCATTCCCCCTTGGCCCATAGCCCTCTTCGTCATCCCTGAGGCGAGGAATCTCTCCCATGAGTAAATCAACAAATCGGCCTATGCTCCACATGCCACCGATTGTCTTCTGGGCGCACTCCTTGTTATCAAACACAAGCTGAGCCATGACGTCCTCATCAACGTTGCCCTGCGATGTGTCAATGAATTTTACTTGGGGGGTGAATGTGGGCCAACTCTTTATTTGGGGCAACGCAGTACATTGTTCCTCATATGCCCTTTGGAAGGTGGCTACCGTTCGCCTTGACATCGTTGGGTCTTGCACAATGACAATGGACCTCGGTGAGCAGACCCCACAGGCCTCGAGGACTCGTTTTGACTCGGCTGCATTCCCTCCACAATTTGTAGAACGGTCTTCGACTACAACCAAGAGTTTGTTCGTGTCATCTGGCTGAATTGTCGCTTCCACAGTTCCGACGTCATGGATCTGGATTCCGTACCAGCGCTCAGCTATGAGCTGCAGTACACGCGATTCGGCCTTTCCTTGCACTTCATCGGCAAGCACATTGTAGACCGGATGTCTCTTGATCGCTTCGTATAGAAAAGGCGTCGAGTGACCGATGCCACCACACAAGACCAGAACTGTGTTTCTTCCCTCTCTAAACACGAGGATTAGTACTTGGTCAAGAAGATATATTCAATCGCATAGGATCGCAGCATCTGTATACTTGGAAATTTGTTCTTTTGACTCTAACCCATTCGTATTCACAGCCGAGAAAACCACATCCGCAAGTGACAGGACTGAAGAGGCACAAAAGACGATAGCATCGGTCGCTTGGTGCTGTTCTAGGCTGCTCGGGGCAGCAGGGTCCGTGAGAGAACGGAAGAACTGGTTGAGACCGTCCACATCTTCGATCTCCTCATGTGATAGGAATGAGGACAGGGTATTGATTGCGCAAGCAGCGTTGGCCATTGAAACGAGTTGACAGGCATTGGGCATGCTGAAAGGAAAAGAGAAACGCGCATTGAACTAATTACCTGAGGTAATGAGGGGGTGATGCAATTATCAACTGCTTACGTAAAATAAATTCCCACCCAACTTCGGAGCTGGCAAAATCAGGTGTCTCCCTACTTTATGGTCATTGACGAACTTCATAATCGGTTGGCGTATACTTTAGTATGACACACCCGGCTCGAGAATAGAACGCAGGTCTTATGTTATGAACGACAGCCCGAAAAATCTTTCGGGATAATCAAAACTCTGGAACGCCCCAACCTAGCTCAACTTATTGTCATGCATCTTCACTTCAAATTCAGAATGGAGGGAGTAACGTAGACAACACCCGAATAATGATGCCTCTAGTTCGTCTAGCAGTATTTTGTTATTGTACAATATTAAACGACAGAACAAATCCCTCGCCAGTTGACAGGAGTGTGCGTCTTTCTTATACACAGAACATAATACCTCATGCTGTCACATGAGTCTCCCCTGCGGAATTTGACAAAAATGGCTGCGGAGTTGATTTTACCAGCCTGATTTTGGAGCCCAGCAACTCCGCAGGTCGTTGTCCAGCTTCATACATGTACCAAGCTACATACAACTCCGCCAAGCGCTTCATTGTGCTAATAGCTTATTTTTTCCAAGGAGTCCCTCTGAAAGTATGACACAAACATTCCACCGCATGGTGGCAGTTGAGCTTACGTGGAGTTGTCTGGGTGAACGACTATCAAACATGTACTTAGGACACGGAGTGATAGGACACGGAGTGATAGTAGAGCCAGGATATGCTTCTCCGCGGCATCGACAACTCCGCTCCACGAGTACTTCGGTTCAACTTAAAACGAAAACATTTTGCCCCAATCTGTCGAGCCTGCTGCTTTACTTACAGGTACCTCTTGATCTATCAAGTCTTTGAATCTAGCGAATCTAGCGTTCAATCCAGATTTGACACCACAGTCTATATCAACCCTCTCCGTCATGGCCTCCTCTCCGTCGAACCAAAACCGTGTAGTCTTTCTCCAGAATGTGGAAGGCGTGCAGAACCTGAGGGCAGAAATGCAGATTCGCCCGATTCCTGAAGCGACTCCCGGAAGTGTTGTTATCCGCGTTTTGGCTGCGACTGTTAGAGCCAATTCGCCGAGAATCTATCGGGACCCGAAGAGCGGATATCCGCTGCCTTTCCCCCTCGTCCCAGGACATACCGCTATTGGAAGGGTGTCTAAGATCTCTTCGGATGTCACCATTCTACAAGAAGACCAGCTTGTTTTCTTTGATCCTTACATTCGAGCACGCGATGGGGGTGGGTTTTATGTCTCGGCCATGATGGAAGGCCTTACTCCTGAAAGCTTCAAACTGTCCCGCGGAGATTGGCGGGATGGAACATACGCAGACTACGCCAAGCTGCCGATCGAGAACTGTCATGTTCTTGACGAAAGCCGCTTACTGGGGGATGAGAGCCAGGGTGGATTGGGCTATACTATACTGGACTTGACACATTTGTTTAGCATGCTTGTTCCATTTGGGGGACTATCAGATATCGATATCAAGCCAGGAGATACCATCCTCATCGCCCCAGCAACTGGTCGACATGGATCCGCTGCGGTACACCTCGCCTCAGCATTGGGTGCACGCGTTGTGGCTATTGGCCGCAACCACAGCATTCTCTCAAAGCTTGCCGCAATGAACCCACGCATCTCGTTCGCGACCATTACCGGGGATACTGCAAGGGACGCCGACACTATACGCAATGCGTGTGGAGGTTCAGCTGACGCGTTCTGGGACATGTCACCGGCCACGGCTGCCTCCTCAACTCACTTTAAGAGCTGCCTTGAGGCACTCAGGATCGGGGCGCGCGTTAGTCTCAGCGGCGGCGCCCCGCCTGATGTAAACTTCAGCTACGTTGACATACTCTTTCGCGCGCTTACCATCAAAGGCACGATGATGAGTACTCCAGAACAAACGAGGCGACTCATCAAACTTATAGAAAGTGGCATCTTGCCACTTGGGGATAGAGCTGGCATGGGTCCAGTCAGAGCGTTTGCATTGGAAGCTTGGGAAGAGGCTTGGGATGCCGCCGATCAGAGGAGAGAACCCGGGGAAATTGTTATCACCCCTCAAGTACCGAGATAAATTGATAACAAGATGCATTGTGTGTGTTGACAAATACCCATAGCTCCCGTTATGTTTGTGACTTATAATTCGTTGTCGATATGTTCCTTTGTGACTTCTGACATAGTATCGACTTTCAGCAGTTGCCAGTAGAGTCTATTCACAAATAGTATGCTTCAGGTACCAGAGAGTGTGGTTGAGCTATTCTGATTCCCTTATGCCTTAAAGAGATAATCGAGGAAAATTATTCAGTATTACTCACCACAACTCAATTTATATAAGTATATTAGATCAAGCATTTAAATAAGGAAACCTGGCGTTTGAAGCTCGGATCTCATCTGTGCCGAGTCCGTCAGCGACGTCCGCAATCGCTCCTTCGCAACCCGCGGCCATCGGCCGTGGGCTAAAGAGGCATCCCACAGGCTTGATTAATCATATCCCACCGGCTGCAACGGGCTTCAAAAGAGAAAATCTACCGGCGCACATGCGCAATATGTTTCCAGGGGAATATTGATCTCTTTGATCTAATCAAAGCATTGTTCCCTCAAGTTAAACTCAACCTCATCTCAAAGCTTCCACTGCCGACCGTTCCGGCGCCATGGTACAGGACAAGACGAAGGAAGTTGTGAGAGTGATCGACGCACCAATCGCCGACATTTGGGCAATAATTGCAGCCTTTGGTTCCGAAAGGCTTTGGTTTCCCAATGGTATCAACTCCAGTCTTGAGGGATTCGGTATTGGATCAGTTCGCACACTGACTTTCAACAACGGCCACGTGGTTCATGAGCGATTGGAGAAGGCCGATCCGGAGACACATACCATCACCTACCTAATTCTTGACGGCGTCCCAAACACGACAAACCCCCGCGGAACGTTGCGATTGACAGCCATGAGCGAGGACAAAACACAATTCAGTTGGTCGGGCGCTTCTGAATGGACGGAGCCAAGCTTTAAACCGGTTCTTGCCGGAATGTTGGAGGAGATGTTCAACGGGTGCATGGATGCTATTGTGTCCATTTCAAGTAGCCGGGAGGAAAGCTGTACATGATTTGATTATTAAACACCTATGGACACATTAAAATATGAAGGGCTCTAGGCAATTAGGCGTTCTGGACTGAAAAAGCAGAGATGCAAGGTACTGGAGAGTGCTCCTCCAATAAATAACTATCGTACCCACTGCCCATTGTCCATTGAATGCCTTGAATTAAAGGATGCCTGGCGTCCGAGGCAGCATTCCTTATGTCGATATGTGGATTGTTGACTTTTGACCCAAGTTCTCTACTTGTCGACGGGGGGCTAATTTTTGTTCAATTGGCCTAGTTCCTGCGCCCACCCTTTTTGCCCTTCTTGCACGGACTCTCGTCCACGGGATCTGCGACTGAACCCAAGTTTAGCGACTTTCATGTCTCACTTGGCATTGCTTGTTATAAGAACATCGTTTCCAAACCTCGAAAGCTTGACAGCTTCGTCGGTCAAGTTTAGACTTGATAGTAGCTCCCACTGAGAATAGCAAGGAAATATGTTCAATTGCGGAGATCATCTAGTAAATCTAGTTCGTACCTTGACCACTCTCGATAATCTTCTTGAGGCTCTCATATGCATTCTCCAACAAGTTCATTTCACCGGGACTGTTCTGGGTATAGCGGGCGTTGTACTTCATGATGCTCTTCGTCTTCAGGTAGGTCGCAATATCGAGGGGGATCGGGCTTCCAACAACGTTCCAAGCAATGGACTCGGTGCAAGGAGGGGTTGTGAGAGAGCCTGTGTATCTTTGGTACAAGTTAGACTGAAGTTCCGGGGGGTTTCAAGGATTGGTAGATGGAACATACTGGTAGATGGTGTTCTTTGAGATATGCTCAGCCAGGCTGGTAAAGTCCAGAGGTCCAGTCGCAGCGTGAGATCCGAACTCAGTGACCTTGTCAACGTTCTTGAAGACGGCAGCCAGAAGAGGGTTCGAAGTCTCGGCGACCTCGATGGGAAAGCCAACGACAGCAAGAGAGGATCCTGATTGACGATCAGCCATGTCCGACAGGACCGTAAGGAGTCAAAGTTGGCGAGAACATACCGTTCCCAATCTCGGCTTCCCAAACAAAGTGAACCTCTAGGGGGAAGTGCTCGCCGTTAATACGGTGCTCACTAGGGGTGTGGAAGTGGAATTGACGCAAGTTGTAGGTCTTTCCACCATTCTTCATGGTGCCATTCGCGCGGACCTCGAGGAATCCGGAGAGATTCTCGAGTTCGCCTCCCTCAGGGTGCTGGTCCGGGCTGAAGGTGATGGTAGAGCCTTTAATCTGCTTGGTGTTTGACTCTTGGACGTTGATGGGAGACTGGCTTCTGCCAAGAGCACAGGCAGAGTTGTTAGAGCTGATGGAGTGCCAGTTGAGAGGGCCATTCAGACCATCGAATCCGAAAGTACCATCAGCTCTTTTGAAAAGCTGATCCTTTTTGAAAAGGCTGGTTCCATGGTGGCAGAAGGCAGCGACCGCAGGAATGAGGGAGAGTAGGGTGGCAGACTTCATGATGGAGATGGAGATTGTATAGAACGAGCGATCGTAAGGTAGAGTATGATAAAAGAGTGACTGGTTCTCGGTGAAAATGAGATGAGATGTGAGCGACTCTATGAAACATCAGATTAGACAGCGGCAGATCTAAAGGTAAATATACACCAGCACTGCAGAGTGGTAGTTAATCGTAAGGAGCGGGAAGCTATGACAATGAGATGCGATATTAATTCCATGGAGCCATGATGGCACCAATCTGCGTAGAAAGCAACGTCTTGGCAGGTTTACCTGGTCAAGCCGCAAGAAACCCAAGCCCCTTTGAGGATTTGGCAGGCTTCTGCCAGCTATCTGCTCGAGGATGGAAGGGGCGGACCTCTTTGCGAACACGTGCTTGGCAATGATCAATCGCGGACGGAACCAGGGGGGATACTGGCAGGGATAAGAGTCAGGACATGGGAAACACATCACGAGAACGGAAGGGGGGCCTCTCCACGTCCAGATGAAGTCAGGTCCAAAGGAAGCACTGCAAACGCTGCCGCAAAGACAACTGGAGAAGTACGCCGAAAGATTGCCCGGAACAGGTCGTCATCAAAAAGTCAAACTGGCGACCGCTTGGCGCAGGGCGTCGCAATGCCAGTGGAGGCAGTACGGCGTTATCCCGCGTGAACACTACATCCCGCGATATTGAGCAGATATGTTAGTCTTGGCCAAATGGTAGATGGCGAAGTTTGGCCAAGGAAAAGAGTGATGAGAGGACCCTCCATGGGCTCCAATTCAACAATGCTAGAGACTCAGCTTTGGCGTCGGACACAGAATGTCGAGGAAGCCCATTCGGCGCCGACGCATGTCCGTGAGCAGCTGACTCGCCTTGCTGGTGGCCACATCTTTATTAACCTCAGTCAGCCGTGTTCAAGAATAGCCGCCGCTCGCTGGGGTAGGCTCAGGCAAGTGTTCCTTAGTGATGAACTCGTCCGAACTCGCTATAGCGGACTTGCGAACACCGCACATGGCAGAGAAGGAGTAGGGCGGATAAGATGGGACTGGAATTCGGAAGATGTGAGGAGCACGAGCAGGTGCCAACCCGTGACAGTGGTGGGGTTACTAGTTAGGACCGTTGGTGATGCGACGACGCTGACGCCAAGAATTGGGGACAGGGCTCCGGGGTTCCCAGAGAGCGCGCCTTACTCGGTGCGGCAAATGTAGAGAGGCCCATCGTGAGTTGAGGTGAGGGCTAAGCGGTCGGCGTAGACGCATGTAAACTGAGCTCTGCCTGGTTGATGCTGGTCAAGATAAAGTTTAGGGCCCAGAAGAACTATGCGCCTGGGTCATTGTGGTTCTTTTGATTGGAGCCTACGCCGCCAGAGATGAACCCGCAGGTCGGTCTATGGCGAGCCAAGAGTCTCCAAGACTGAAGAGGGAGGGGTTCGCTCGTGGACGTGCCCAGAATGCATTTTTGGCACACAGCCACGTTACCTTGCGACCTTACTCCTGTATCCTGTGTCGGCAGTGTTGGATGGATCTTACACCACGCCCTAGACTTTAGCATTTTGGGCCTTAGCATACCGGTGTCCTGGTTCAGCAAACGTATGCGAGGACTGAAACTAGCTTGACCCGCCATGTGTACAGCGTAGGTATCCGTACGGAGAACCTGCGGTCCTGTGCTCGAGCCTGGAGCGCAAGACCATGATGGTAAATGTTGCCAAGGTCATCGCAGCCCATCTTGGTCCATCTTAACAGCCACGAATGCTTTTTGTCTTGGCAAATATATAGCTGCGGCGTTTTCTCGATGGCCCAAGAAAAGTCCAAGACTTACCCAATACCTCCCAAGACCCGGGGACATAACCGACATTCTTCATCGGGCATGGCGGCACCGTTTCTCCGTGGGTTGGAGCGGGCGTCCCGACACCTTGGAACAGGAACCGGGAGGCACATCTGAGCACTGACATGCGCCAGCGGCTTGTGTCTCACTCTCGGATAGCGCCTGGGGACCGCCTGGGATTCTCGTATCGGCCCATTGGTTCTTTGTGGGATCCTCGTCTTCCCCTGATACTTGCGGATACCTTCACAAGCAAGAGACGAAACTCACTGCTTGCGGCTGTGTATTCGTACGCGGTAAAGACTATGTGAAGCAGAGTAACCCAAACTATCAATCAAGATTTCGCTGTCTCTTGATGCGCACGGCTTATCTCTCAGATCAGAAGAAAGAAGAGCAAGCGATCCTTGGGATGGGAAGAAACTTTCATCTATTCCGTCATCAGCCAAGGCTTGCGAATACCAATATGCAAATACTTTAGCGAAGTAAAGTAGGTACGCTTCATCCCATGGTCTAGGAATACCTTACTAGACAATGGCTTCACAGACTTACTTTCAGCATACACTTAATTATTGCAATACTCGATTCGTCTCATCCTCGTTCTTCCCATCAATCCATCAGCAGCTCTCCCGCTATTTACAGCAGTACCTACAGGCTCCGTACAGTCCCAGGGTTCCAGAGTCACAAGTCCAGAGAATAGCCTGCCCAGTGCAGCTTGCCGAGATCCCTAGCGTGCAATAACGTGTTTGTCTTGGCACACTAAATTCAGGACTGCGGCACTGCGACAGATGAGGACCGCCGCGTAATTGGCTGCATTGATCGGCCTTGACTTCAAGGTTTCCGTGCAGGACTCCAGGCGGACCAGGCCCCAAGCCCAGGGGACAACGGGCGGGTGGACCTTCTGAAATCTAGAATTCTGGAGAGAACAAAATCATTCCAATTTTCAATCTCCTCCCACATTTCGGCTTGGCGCGGCGGGTTTCTTCCACTTGGGAAAGGGTCAGGAGGGCAATCATAATCGAGGAACACCTCAAGGCTCCTCATCGGTCATTCACGTTGTCCACACAGAACAACACAGCTCAGCGGGTTGCAGACTTGGACTAGCCCAGTCGGCCAAGCCCAAATCCTCGCTCACCCTTTCAACTTCAACAACACAACACACCAGACCTGTCCTTGGCAAAAACTCTCACAGTCACACAAACGGATACGGATATACACACTCACACACATTCACATACATATTTCCGCCCTCAATACCTACCCATGTCGCTCTCCCTGTCTCCTCTGCTCGACGCGCTACCGACGGACTTTGTACCCGAGTCAAGCGGACTTATCCACCCCCGCCCAACTGTCACTGCCTCGTCTGCATCGTCCATCTGGAGAGATCTCCCCGAGGCTGTATTTCGCCAACATGTCGTTACGTTGGAGAAGCTGACCAATGCTGTTCCTGTCGACGCCAAATCCTTCCCGCTACCATCCCAACTGACAACTTCTTCAGATGGGTCTGCGGAAGCTCGTGCTAAAGTGCTTACAGATGGCTCTCCAGAGACCACTGTGACGAATGACCGCTACCGACAGTCCGCAGAGCAACTCAAACATCCCCGTCCCCGCCTGTTGACAGTTGCCACGGAGCAGCGCCTGGCAGATGATATTGCCTACCTTGTCGCCGTTGGAGAGGGAGCGCAGTCCGTTGCTGCTGCCACTGTCCAGGAAAGTCGGATAAAAGTCGACGTTGCAGCTGGGGGCCTCGATGGAGGCCCTAATCATGATCAACAAGCACTCCCAGCTGCAAGTCTCAAGGTCACCATCGCCTCCGCAGATGCGATCGAGCCTACCTCCCAGGCTTTCCTACGCTCTGTTTTCCAAATACTCTCTGCCCCGCCGCCTGCCAAGCCCTTACATAGCCTCTTGGACCTGGTCATCCGGCATCATC